TGATTCCTTTGCACATCGTTTTCTTAGAAAGAGAAAGCATAGTTTGCTATCTTTCTTTAAGCTTCACAGATGGCAGACACGAAGTTACTGCTGCCAGCAGTGATGTAAGTTTCGTTTCGTGTTCGGATGTACAGCAAAAATCTTGAAGCTCAAACTCAACACAGTTTGGTGAGAATTGTAGCCGGGGAGTTTTGTTAGCATGATATCATAGCAACCGTATCACAGCTTGTAATATCATCGGCTGTTGTTTGCGTGTTGAGTTTTTGGTCTACGATACTCAAATGAGATTATGCACATTGGTGAGATTAGATCTTTTGATATTTTCACAACACTGGTCACCAATGCACCACCACCAACAGTGAACCTTTCGCTGTTTGTCATCAGATGTTTCTGTCGGCCACTGGGTGGTTATCGTCGAACGAGTGAGCTGCTCTTGGTGGCTATTCCCGGCATTAGTCGCATCCACCGGCTCCATGAACAGCTAGCAACTAGCAACAGCTAGCTCACCGGTCAGCAAACCACACGATCAAAAACACCACCCACCAGCAACGACCACCAACATCATCATCAACAAAAAGCAGCATGCAAGCAGGTAACCCTTTACCATGTGACATTACAAAATAAATGTTAAAATAAAACTTGAAAATGATGACATCGATTTTTTTTTTGTCAGTTTGAACTTGACAGTGCTGTCACAGACAAACAGACATAACACATTGAATATTTCTCACTGTAAAACATCGTCGCTAAAACATTACCGCCATCTGTTGAGTACACTGTGGTGGGCACTACGCTGACCAGATGGCGGTAGTGTGTAAACGTCAAACGCAAGGGAATTGACTATGTGTGCCACAGGTGGTGTTACTACCAACTACGATACTTTTAAATTGTCCGTTAAATGCTTGTTCGATGAACAAATTGCGAGTGTTATGTCTGTTTGTCTGTGGTGGTGTGATCATCATGATTACTAGCTCATGTATCGCTATAAAAGTTATTTGTACCAAGGAAATCTTAAAAATATATTAAATCTACCAATTACATACGGTTACTTGCTTAAATTAATCTAAATCAGTTAGAAATGTTGATGTCCAAACTGCATAAGATTTATTCTCATGAGTGCTTGATCATTGGGAAATGACAAGAAAGCTAATGATCGGTCGTTTCGTCTCGTGATAGTGAGAGGACCTGTTTTCTCATTGTCATGACGGCCGTGATATTTACCAGCTCTGGTTTCTGGAAATGTCTAGTATAAGAATTTAATTCGTTTGTCTTTTGTATCTCTTTATTAATTTTTGTTTGTCTCATCGTCGCCCACTGGTCACCATAGCCGGTCGAACTCCAGACGAATCTAGAACCACACTACCGTTCATACTGACGACATCGCTCTGATGAGACAACGAAACCCTACCCCAAGCTCCTCCTCTTTTCCTATCCTTCGACAATGTACCCCTCTAACCTCGAGTAAGCCGTGAGTATTTGGCCCAACTCCTACTAGACATAGAATTAAGGGAATTTTGTTACAAACAAAGAACCATGAATTATCGGCTCCGTAAAGCTAACGCGGTTGAGCCTTACAAATAAACGAACTAGATAAACAAAATCAAGGCTACGCACAATGGAATTCGGTTTTGATCCATTCCGCAAATTTGACAGACAAAATATGAGCTTTCTGTTAAATTTGCTATGAAAGGTGCCGGAATCCCTTCTTGGAGTATTCATGTGCTGTGCGTGAGCGTCTAGCATACTTTTACGAGGTATTGGATTAACTAATATTGTTGAAGATTTTTTTTTAATTTAGAAAATAATGATTTCAGCAAAAAATTATGCACGTAGGGGAAATGACGACTTCGGCATGACAGACTATTTTCGGCAACCCAAATTGAAACGCTAATTTCACTGGATTTTCTTACGAAAACACTTCGCTGAATGCATTCAAACGATTATTTAGACTTTCAGCTTCAATTTGATTATATTTTTACCGCTGAGAAAAGCAATCTAGCAAGGTTTTCTTGAAAAATGAAACACTCGCATTACAAAATGCTGCTGATTTCGAGTTGCCGATGAAAAAAGCACAGCTGTTTAACACGCAGCTCAAATAGAAAGGTTGCCGAATAAAAAGATGTTGCCCACTATAGTCGCTCTCACTAGAGAAGATTGGAGGTTTGTAAAAGCGTTTCAAAACAATTTTTGACAATTCTTTCGATGGTAGCAAAAGATTGTAAACAAACCAATACTGCATATGTGTGCGTTCCTTAGAGAAAAAGGCTATAGAGTTCTCCAGATGCACAAAAGTGTGCGTGAGACCGCGCGCTACCTTTTTAAGTAGTTGTGATATCGCGATACCTTTTTTTTCATCTTCTTCTTTATTTTTATGTATGGATGTTGGATTTTAGTGTTCGTGAGATTGCGCTTGGAGATCTCTATAGAGATATCTAAGCGCAATCTCACGAACACTTAAATCCAACATCCATATATAAAATGAAGAAAAAGAAGAACCAAAAAGGTATCGCGATATCACAACTACTTAAAAAGGTAGCGCGCGGTCTCACGCACACTTTTGTGCATCTGGAGAACTCTATAGAAAGATGGTCGCTGCTTAGGTTGCCGAGAATACGTAAATTCCCCTGTATAGTTTTCCGCAAAATGGTATGCACCGCCAATTGGTTTTTCGCCAAATGGTACAATCCGTAAAATGGTTCACGTCGCCAAACATTATTCCGCAAAATATGCAACCGCGAAAAGAAATTGTTAGCATAGTTGAAATGGAAAATGAAGTCGAGATACGATGATTCATAGTTAACATGATAAAGAGACGCATCCACGTTCTTCTTCTTATTCTTTCTTTTATTTAACGTCGGTCTCTGTGCTAATCTAGTGCCAACCACCGACGGACATCGATGACCATCCGTTGACGACAATGTGCAGGGAGACAGCTTCCACACCTGCGTAGGATATCGCCACCATTCAACACACATGGGCCGGAACCAACGGCTTTACTTCCCTTCCGAAGGAAGACGTGACCAGAGATTTTTATGCCTCAGAAAAATCTCACCGACCTCGGCTGGGATTGAACCCAGACCCATTGGAGTGAGAAAGCAGTCATGTTTATCACTACACTACCGGCGCCGGCGCATCCACGTTCAGATGTAGGGGTTGGACAAATTATACGCAGATGAAACTTCTTACCAGGGGCTTGGCAACCCTATATCAATCCTATACGTTTGACAGTAGACAACATCACGGGCCTTATTTAAATACGGCCCGCCTGACGTATACATGGTAGAAAGCGACGGAAAATTGTATTATAAGCAGGAAGACAAGAGCAGATGATAGCATCAAAAACATGGCCGCCAGCCAGGCCCCTGCTTCTTACAGTCAGCTATTTTCTTACAATAAATAAAGTTTTAGCTTAAAACAATGATAATAATCATTCATTGAATCAGTAGATGTTGGATCATTGTAGGTCAGCATTCCGTATTATTAAGTTTCATTGCTTAAAAGGATCCTTCAACAGAGAGCATTTTTTTTACCGTAGCGATTTTTTTTTATCGATTTCGTTTATTTGGAAAGTTCAATCACGTTAGCTTTACGGAGCCTATAATTCATTGCTCTTTATTTGTAACAAAATTCGCTTGATTATATGTCTATGTGTGAAGTTGGAAAGAATACTCGCGGCTTACGCGAGGTTCTGAAGCGTTTTTTATAAAAGTTAGTTATTATTTCGTCCAGAACCACAAATTTAACATAAAAGAACCTAAGAATGTTTAGATGTGTTTCAGGTGATCAGCATTTATAGCAATCTTCACAACTCACACGTTGTTCTTTATCAATGCTGATCAAGTTGTTTAGTTTGAGATTTTCATTCTCGTCATGACTTATCAAAGTCTGCTTTACTGTGTCTGTAAAGGTTTTTGAATCCCTCGTGACAGATTCTTTAGAAATGGAGCCATTTTTTACCTCTCCCTTTTAAAGTTGCACACAACATCAACAGGCCACTAGCTGTTTCCGTATACTCTTTCAATAAACGACTTAAACATATTCAATTGATTCTTTACGTTTGGCTCGATACTCTATAAAATCATAGGTTGACTGTCCCTACCCGGGTATTTTTGTGCGTACGAGACATTCTACTTATCCCATCCTCTTCGCTTTACTTACTTTAAATAGATGTTGATGAACAAAATAGTTAACAATTTCGGGAAACAAGTGTACAATACTTTCCAAATGATCATACCATTCGGTGGAAATTTGTAACGTAAATACAATACAATACTATACAATAATGCAGTAATTTGGGTTGCAATTGCGCCATGCATCAGTGATAAGGTAGCACCACCAAAAACTGCATACGATGCTGAAGAGAGAGAGAAAAAGACTCCGTTCCCTAATAACAAAGGATACCTTATGTGTCACAATCTCAGCTCAGCCAGGCGACGGATCATTTCAAAACTTGGAGAAAATTATTCTCCCTGAACATATAAAGCCGAATGATGTCATCCCAAGAAACTCGCAACTTTCCTACATCACTGTACCTGCATCAAAATGACGATCATCGCTTCTCTGCCACATGCAGATAAAAATATATGTTTTTCAATCAACAGGTACATATTTTTAGACGATCGTGAGGGATAAAATCGTCCCAACTAACAGTCTTATCCTTATTGGATTTGGATTCCCGCAATAAATGGGCCAAAACAAAATCCAGCTATCGAAAACTTCTTTTATGCAACACACTCCGCACAACTATCGTGTCGTGTGTACGTACATTCTGGTATTTATCTGTTCCGCTGTGTAGGTGCACGGATGCTTTTGTGTCTGTAAATTTTACGCTGTCGTAATGATCGCCCTCGGTCCTCCACTCCGTATAGTGCAAATACCTATCAACTCGAAAATGATTTTACTCTGTGGCCCATAGCAAAGGCGCGGAAGGAACAACGTCCCCTATAGAGGAACAGCTAGCTTGGAGAAAAGTAGCCCCGAAAAAATGTTCTGACACTCACCTAGAAACACTGGAATTGAGGCGATATTTTCTCCCTTCGCTATCTGGAATCCTATATTCCTTAACGCCACTGACACTACACACTGCTGCTCCGCGGATTCATTTTTTCCGTTTTATTCCACTCACTCACTGCGATCTGATGATGGTGCTCTGCGCTGGGTTCACTTTTTTTTTCTTTTCTGTTCCAGTCTCGTGCCTGCTGCTGGGGGCCACGTTTTCCCCCGCCAAGTAATCACTTTGGGGTAGCGCGCGCGACTTTCCACCCCAGGAAAACGGTACGGCCAACTAATTTGCACTTGAATTTTGCAAAATTTTGATTTTTTCACGGTTTGTCCTGCTTTTGTCAAAGCGGACGAAATTTTCTGCTTGTTCCTCTGTAAGTACTCTCGCGACGAATGTCGAAAAGAACAGCCTTCTTTCTGCAGAGTGTTCTCTTTCTCCCTGCCACTGTCTGACTATAGTTGCCTTTCGTTTACTCCTAAACTCTGGTCTTGTTTTGCAGCGCCACCATCGGTCGCCTTTCAGTTTTTTTACTGTTCTGGTACGATGGAAAAGGAATTATATTTATGATGGCACACCATGGAACCTTCCGTGATTATAAAGTCAATGCAATTAATTTCAAAGAAAAATATCCAACTGTTCTAACCAAACAGCATTTAATTAATCAAAGGGATAACATTTTAAAAGGTGAATTAAAAAATGTTCAACAGACTCCAACAATCAATTATTGATTGAATAATGTTTTTTTTTTTATTTTGCACCATTAATTTATTTGGAACAACATAAGCTTTCATTGCACTTCCAGGAAGATTAATATTTTAGATTTTGCTTTTCTTGTTTTCCCTTAATTTTGTATTTGACGTTTCCTTGTGACGCGCAACTGCACGAAAAATAATGACAAGAAAACATGCCTCAGCGGCCAAAATTACTGTCTATTGGCCGAACAGATATCACGTAACCATAAATATTGCTGATTGCTTCTGAAACAAGGCTGCCCCAAAAATGCAAAAAGTGTGAAAAATGTGAACGTTTCCGTCAAAAAAATTTATTGTCTTTGGAGCAATTATTGCCTGCATTATAAGGAATAAGTGCACCGGATCCACTGATACGATTAGTCGGAAACTCGCTCTATTATCGCACTTTTTAATAAGTGAAAATGCGCTTATGCTTTGTCCAGTTTGGTGTGAAATACGCAATATAAAAAAAAATATAGACTTCTCTGACTTTTGTGAAATGCACAAGTATTGTCGGGGTAAATTATAATTATTAGTACAATAAAACCTTTGAATTCACCCAAAATTCTGCACTAATACTTGTGCAATTCATAAACGTCAAAGAAGCCTCCCTAATAAAAAATAACCATAAACGAACGATAACCCAAATCATTGAACTATTCCACAAATGGTTTGGATGATACCCAGAACACGTCGTTAAGCAAATTAACCATACAATTTTTATTAGGGCTATTTATCTACACGGAACCGACAAATTACCCAAAATTAAGTTCTTTTCACTCATCTCCCATGTTCCGTTCAATAAGCTAATTTTCAGTAAACTGCTTAAAGTAGTTTGCATTTGGCTACGGCAAAAATAATTACTTACTCGTGAGTATTTTCTACCTAAAATTAAGTTCAATTGCCTCAAATTTGAGAATATCTCATATACTCACTAGTAGCATACACAGCAAAAAAAGTTGTTGAATATTACATCGAAACTGCTGCAACCAGGTCAATCCATCGGTTGTGTAAAATCACATTGTACGATGTACATCGATTTTGCGAACAAAATTACATCCATTGATGTAATATTGTATCTGCGTTTTGCTATTACATGATTATTTCATGCATCAGCTTGAATTACGTTGATCGATATTACATTTTTTTTTTGCTGTGTAGAGGTAACTCTAAGACCACTGGGTCCCGAAGAAAATCATTATTATTTTTGGCTCACTCAGTACCAGAACAACGGTCCCAAGCAGTCCCAAGCTATTTCACTCACCCCTGCATGTTCTGCATGTATCCACACACCCCTGATGTTATCTGTCAAACTTTCATAGCGAATCAAAACAAACATAGTGTAGTAATAGAATTTCAACTAGAATAGGGTACGTTAATCGTTTGCTTGGGACCAATAGGCTACTAAAGTGGTGAGCCAATTTAAAATCGTTAGTTTCGTACTGATTGTTGCTAGTAGCTTATTGAACGATAGTCATGAGAAAGTCGAATCTCTCGTTCCGTTTTTGACAACAACAAAAAGTGAAAATGGGATGCAAAACTCAAAATTACCCAAAAATAAATAAAAAGAACTTAAATTTAGGGTAAATTTTTTTCTCTGTGTAGCGCTCCGAATCATAAGGGTCTAACTGCGATGATCGATTTTCTCTTTTGTTAATAACTCGGCGACCCATAAATGAGTAAAATTTTACCCATTTCGAAGAAAAGTGGCTTAACTCACGAAATGAGTAAAACCGAGTTTACTCATTAATGAGTATTCGACTAGTACTTCATAAAATGGGTAGTTTTTATCCTTCGTGTTTTTTTTGGCAATGAATAAACAGTACCCATCTTTTTAATCGCTTCATAGGGCACATAACTAACAATCATAAATACGTCAGAGGTCAACTTAAGATCAACAAAACACTTTCTTTATTGGAATCATGAAACAATGGCACATTCAACACTGCAAAGCAATAAAAAAAAGTCAACCGCTTGTGCTGAGCTGGGAATTATAGAAGTGATTTTGTATAAGTAACTCGTGCGTCATAATCTCCTCTTGCACTTGATCTACTTTGGATTTGGCTTACTGATGTATATCGGCTTGAAATCTGGCAAAATCATCTTGTACAGTTTTCCAGGCATGATAAATTAGGATGGAGGCCAACAAAGCTTTAAGAGATAGGTATATTGAGCCACATAATTGTGGTTTAGGAATAGGATAGCCTGTAACGGACAAAGAGCATCCGGAAACAGGACAAGCGAATCCAGTTAAAAATCGTATGAATTGCAGCTCTGGGAAAATGGCGATATTTTTTTACAGAATCACTGAGGATTCTTAGTTTTTAAAAAATACCCTTTTTTGACAGCTCGGAATGAATTCAAAAAATGGGTAAAATATACTCATTTAATGGTTCAAGTTAGCGTGTTTGCTAGCTACCCCCCCCCCCCCTCCGTAAGCACAAAAACGTGCTTGTATTGCCCCCTCGGTAGAGTTGATCACAATCACACCGAAAATCAGTGATGTCCCATTTCTTTATTACTCGATTAATAATTAGTCGGTTATTTATTTATCGCTGTGCTGCAAGCTATACTATCATTTTCCACCTATGAAAGTGACATGTTTGAAAAAATGATGATCCTCTGCAAAAAATAATGCATGATATTACCGATTGAAAATAATTCATTTTTTGGTTCGTTAATCGAATAATCAATTATTCGAATAAAAATCGCTCTCCACTCACCGCGGTAAGCTCCAACTTGGATTGACTTTTAAAACCGTCCCTGTTTGTGTGATCTGCAAAACGTTTGCTTAGAGTCGTGTTGATTGAATCTGATGTTAATTTAATCCGAGGATAATACCGGTTGGAGCTTACCACCATAAATGTGAAATATAAGGTCTGTTCATAAACAATGAGACAATTTTAAAGGGACCGGGGCCTGGGTCTATTACATTCCATGAACCATAGTATAACTATTTTTTTATAAAGTTAACATTACTGGTAAGGTATAGGTAGTGTTGGAGCTGTTCTACACACTTAGAAAATAATACCGAACTCGATTTAATTTTCTACCGAACCTGTTCGGTTACCAACGAGAAACCAAATAAATGGATTAATAAAAAAAATTAAGGCCTATTTATCGAATCAGATCCCAATTTCGGTAAAATAGTATAAATTTGACAGATATAAATGAAGACTGAACCGAAAAGTACGGTAATGTATCGATATTTACGAATTCGCTACGTGAAAACCGAGAAATTCGGTAAACTGAACCGAATATTCGAAAAAAAAAGTGTTAAACGTCAAACGCTTAAACGTCAAACGTTCCACTTGCGCTCAACTTAACGACGGAAATTTTTCTCGCGTGTGCTAGTCGGACGTGTGCAAAACTTTAGTAAAAATGGAAAAAGTTCTGGAGCAGCTGCAACAGGAGTATGCACGATTGATTGAAATCTTTTGTAAGTATTTGAAACTAACGGTATGATTTTATTTGCAGGCATATTGTGTTATAGTTTGTTTCTCCTGCCGTGAAAATATACAAGGTTATGTCTCTGGCTTGCAAAGGCATTTTAAAAACCATTTGAATAAGACTTCAAAGTCAGTGATATTTTTTGACTGTACTTTTCCACGCTGTAACTCGCGTTACGGAAGTTTTTATTCGCCAACACAAATTAAATAAATCTTGATAGAGCTGGAATTAGGGCGTAACAGCTTTTGTAAACAATGACTTCTCTCGATGATTTCTCGAAACTCAAGGCACGCCCACGCAAACCAACATAACCAACGGAAAGGGGAAGACTTCCCCTACCCGATAATGACGTTGATTTGAGTGAGCGAGCCTTGGCTTTCCAGAAATCATCGAGAGAAGTCATTGTTTACAAAAGCTGTTATGCCCTAATTCCAGCTCTATCTAGAAATATATTTCATACATTTTTTTGACAAAACTGGTTTTATTTTTATGAAAATTCAAAGCGAAGTATCCTTAAGTGAAGTGTGTAGCAATGGCAAGAGCAATGGTTACTTTATATGCGGGTTGTCACTCCCAACTTAGTTATTTTGAGGTATCATGGTATCATCCAAGCCTTTTGTGGAATAGTTTTTATTATTTGGGCTATGGTTATTTTATTAGGGCCAAGCGCAATGGCAGCGGAAGCGGAACGGCAGCGGCAGCGCAAAAGCCCAATCTGAGTAAGCCTACTTGTCGTATTGAAAACTAGTTCGAACCAAATCGACTTCGGTTAGGCATCTTGTTGCCATTTGTGACAAATGTCAAACTTTCCGTTCCCGTTCCGCTTCCGCCCACATTACGTTTGGGCCTTCACTTTTAACCGATATGAGCCCGCATAAAGAATAACCCTAGGGGAAGGACAGCTCCATGTATCAGTATCAATACCGATGGTGGAAATATTAAATATTTTAATATGTGTGATATTTGCGAATCTTATACTTAGTCTGACAGTTGTTTTTTGTTTGTATTTTTGTTTTAAGTGTACATTTGACATTCGTTTAATCAAAATTGCATTTCACACGAGAGGCAAGTCATTCCTTTGTGATCTTGCTGGCCACCGCCACCAAAATCCGCTCCTTGTTTTCATAAATTCGGCATTTTTGGTAGCTGTTCTCAGTGCACATAATCGGCCGCACTTCCATTCCCAGGAATTAATTTCCACGAATTCTTCATCGTCTGTGAACCAATGTGCTGTTCTCCTATGGAACGGGAATCGATTGACAACGCCGCCCCTGCTAACGGAAGCCCAGAGTGATGGTCCCGTGGTCGTATTACGCTTGATTCTCCATGAGAATGCAACTTGGAGAGATTTGTTGCTGGGGGGAACGTCCAGTACCATTTTTATCATGAAAAGCCGAAGTCGAAATCGATCAGAGCTATCGAAAACGAAAATCTAGGCAAAAATTATGACAAACAGAAAGCTGCAGGCTGCAGTAAACATAAACAACAACGGTGCAACGTCATTGAGTGTATGCGTTAAAGTTACACTGTTATTTTTTTTTTGTTTTACTTTGAAGCTTTCCGCTTGACAGTTAATATCATTAATATTTATACTAAAAATTATAATATCTACCAATTTGAGCAATTTTTACATCAAATATTACTTCAGATCAAGTTGTACTTCCCCTAGGAATAACCATAAGATGCGCCTAACCACTAATTCGAGATATCATCCCAACTTTATGTGGTATGGTCAAACCATCTAAGATATCATCAGTATATGGTACCCGTTTATTAGGGAGTACATCATACTCAAATTTGGGTAGTTTATAATATGTGTTTCAGTAAGTAACTGAACGAATTTACCCCCTACCACAACCATACACCACTGTCACGATGGAAAAGCCTTAAACCAGCAACACTGCCGTCAGTCAAACAGACAGGGACAGAGCGAGCTATCATTTTTTGACAAAAGTTCCAAAGCAGCGGACTTCGAAAAAACTTAGGGCCACCAAAAGGTAATCTTTTGCTAGATTTTTCCAAGATTATTGTGAACTAGTTTGCTGTTATCGATTCGAAACGGATCCTCTAACTATTGCGCTTACAATCCACTCACTTTTCGACCGGAACGTCATCCAGGATTGCAGGCAGGAACCGGCTGTACAAGCGGTGTAGGCATTAGTCGAGCATTTTTCTTTCGATCATCGGAGGGCAAAGAAGCCGTGACCGAAGACACGAAGGAAGCATACACACATCAAGCGTGAGTAGTAAGCAACAACAGGAGTAGCAGAAGTAGCAGCAACAAAAAAAGCAACCTCTAGGAAAAATGGTGAGTGTTATGTTTTCGTTATCTCCACTGATTATCAGGGGCTAGATTTCCCAATATGGAAGTTGCCGGTCCGGTCGCTTGAGACGATTTCTTCCCCGTTTTGTCTACTACTGTGGGATTAACACGTTATTAGGTGCAGTCAGCGTTGGATCGGATGGTAATAAGCTGATAAACGCATGATGACGAATGAACTTTGGACGGGGCCCGCTACTGGTGAGGTGTTGTGACGATAATAGACGACAGTAAATGACAAATAAGATGGTTTAAGAGGTTTACGTGAAAATTGCCTACTACTTGTTGAACTAAGCTATCGGAGGATGAGAATGTTGCATTTCGGGCAGCTATTTTTGGTTGACCTCGGACTGGTTATGGAAGTTTCAAATAGCCTTCAATTACCTATACGTGCGCTGCTGCAGCAGTTGACATTCGAAAGAACCCTACAGTGACATCTCAATTTACGCTATCCGACTGATTAAGTTAAGTTGTTGGTCGATCGGTGGTACATTGATCGTTTATTCGCTTAATCAAATTTATGTTGTCAGACTCAATTACCGATTAGGTAGATGATTTGTTGTTAGCAAATCCGTACCTCTCGTATGCCTAAAGCAGGATAAATAGGATTCAGTATTTTGTAAATTACCTAATGATACAGTTACCGCCTTTGTAAGGAAGCCTTCTGGAAGTACAAACCGATGTTGTACCTTTACTTCGTCAATGCCTTTGCGTAGCCGCTTTTTCACAAAGTGGTGAATAGTTGTTGATCTTTTCACCAAAACAAAGGTCGACTTTTTATCGCAAAAAAAAAAAATAGTACCTCGAACAACTAAAATTAAATCTTGGGTTTATCTAAAACACTGATTAAAAATAACTAGTATACTCATCATTTATTATGTCTCTAGATTTTTTTAAGGCCGTTCATATCGTAGTTGCAACGTCAGAACCAGTGAAATTGCAGAGAACCACTTCAATGTACAACGTTCAATGATTCATTCTATTTGATCAGCACCGACGGGACCCAATCCGGCATATGCGAACTCGGTTCAAGGAGTCTTTGAAGAATTTGATTTCCATATTTAGGCTGCCACTCTGTAGCGCCGTGATAGCACACAACAGTGGTAAATTGTCTGGCTCTATGGATGAGAACCACTGGAGAAGGACCTTCTTGGCATGTCTGCATCATCGGTATTCAAATCTAGACTAAAACTGCGAGTGTTAGTAGCCCAATGGGATTAGAGACACTTACGCGCAGAGACGTGCCGATACCAGCCTCGGAATGAACATTGTTTTACTGATTTGACTTTGTTTCTATAGTATGTGTTTAGTGTACTATATGAGAAATGGATTCAACAATTATTCTTGAATGAGGGCACAGAGAAAATTCGCGGCAAAAACATCCAAATTTCGCCGTTGAGAAATGGGAAAAAATTACGCGGCAATATTTGCGATAATCTTAATAATGATAACATTTTCATTGTTTTTGACGTAGAACTACGTCTTTGTCGACTATACTGGGGTGCAAATCAAAAAATATGTGTGGTGAAATAGTGTTAGGTTTTGAACGCTTGTAACTTTGTCATTTATAGATGAAATTAAAATCCAAATACGCCAATCGATAGGATATTACTTAACGAATCTGCTAAAATAAATACTTTTCAAATTTTTAATCAAAAAACTTTTGAAAAATGCACAAATGCTAATTTTATCACTGTTTTCATGAACTAAACGGTTTACCTAAACTCAGTCATCATAAACGAATACCACTTGGTTGCACATCATTCTGCTTGAACCTGAAAAGATATAAAACAGCGCTGCTGTCGTGTCTCTGCTCATTACCGCTTCGGACGGCGTGGAACATGGTCCCGCAAATTTCATAAAAAGTAGAAGGGTCTGTGCCTAGGGGCACGAACGGAAGCTTGACGTAGGACCGCTAGTGGACGGAATAAATGTGAAGAGCATTAAGTTCTTTTAATTGATCAAATCAGGCATAACATTTGATAACGGCACAAAAGGATTTGTAAACAAACATTCTAAGGCCCTTTACACGCGAACTAAAGTACGCCGGTTTTGAATTGTAGGCGATCCAAATTTGTAGTAATCTTTTTCAAAAAGAAAGTTGATTACGAGAATCAATCAGGGTGGCCAGTGAATTTTCATTTTGAAAATCCCGGTTTTCCCGGTTCAAATCTTAAAAATTCCCGGTTGTATGCAACAAAAAAAAAAAAAAACAAAATTTACTGATAGGATAAAAAAAATGTGATTTAAGAAGATTCCCAAGATTCTGGAGCTTTGAAATTTGTGTAGAGTCTGAAACTAGAACTTTTCTTCAAAATTTGTGATTAATAACATGCTTCGTGATGCAAGATTTGGAAAAACAATAATTAAAATGTGAAATTTTGAATTTTTTTCAAGAACACAGATTTATAAAAAAAAAACATCATACTTATGAGTCGTGGAGTCATAATTGTCACGCTCTGAGACTTGGAAGCATTTTAAGGGTAATAACAAATTACATAGCAATCTGTAGAATCTGGCGGACAAACCCTGGAATTTTTAGTAAAATTTAAAAGAATTCAAAGTGTTGATTAAAAACAAATATTGAGAAGGATTCCCACACAGTTTTCGAAGGAGAAGAGCAGATTTCCAGAATTATTCTTAGAATTATTTATGAAATCCATAGAAATTATTAAATGAATTTGGAAGGATTTCTTTGGAGAAGAATGCAAGTTCTAAATTAAACTGTTAGGTAATTTTATTAGATTTAAAAAAGAATTGTGAAAATAAAAATAAAACATTGCAGAAAATTCCTACGTGGTTCTGATGAGATTTGTATGGGCATCGTGAGGAACATGACAGATGAATTTTAAGAAGAATTCCAAGAGAATTATGATCGGAATTCAACAAGAAACAGAGTTCTTAAAATGTTCTGGCAATAATTTCAACCCTAGTGCGAATGATTCCAAAAAATTTGCTGATAATTAGAAAGAAATTCTTTAAAATACTCCAAGGGGTTTATAAATTAATTTTCGAAAGATTTCTTTTGTTTTGAATAGAGTTAAAAGAAATGTTTGAAAAGATTTTTAAAGGAATCAAAGTCTCCTGATAGGCGGGAACGGAAATTATATGAAGGATTCCAATAAATTCTTAGAAGGGGTTGGAAAAAAATTCCTAAAAGAATTCAACAGTAATTATTACGCGGAGTGTTTTCTGGTTTATTTCAGAACAATTTCAAGATAATTCAGAGCAGAATTCCAAGTTAATTCTGGAATTCATCATGAGAATTTTGAACAACGAAAAATTAAAACCCCGGAAAAGAATAATTCAGTTTCGGTTTTTACAAATATTTGTTTCCAAACTCCAGCATCTTCAATATTTTCTTTAGAGGACCATGCACTTTACACCTGAAATTGAAACGACAAAAATCAATTTGCAATATTGCTGAGTGATTAAATTCTAAAAACAATAAGACGGTATACTGAAGAAAATTATGCAACAAATAGAGCAAGACATTCATTTGCTAAAGAATCACTCTGTTTTAATGGTTTATTCTGAAATTCTGATGTAAAAATTTGTTCCTGATATGGTTAATTTATTTTCCCGGTTCTCTTGCAGAATTCACGGGTTTTTCCCGGTTACTTTGCAAATTCCTGGATATTTCCTGGTATTCCCGGATTTCCCGGTTTGCTGGCCACCATGAATCAATCAATCAGAATCACTTGCACCCCTGCTTCCAAGTTTGTGTGGTCGTTGGGGGCTTGTGGTTCTGAATATGGACAAACAAGCATAGATAAATTCTATTCCAACTCTTTACTGATGTAAGCTTGATGGCCCTGAAAAGAGCCGTTTTATTGAAGAGGACATCCATGGCCACTTACGCTTGGCGTGTTTAGTGTAGGTGACGGACCTCATTTTCCACGAACACCTTCAGCACACCTCGTAGATCAGACCGGAGATACGTCAGACACTGCGACGGCGAGCCAGACGACGGATGGTGGTTACCTCGAAGAATTTGCGATGACGATTGGCACCTCCTTTGCCACGACCAGCCACGACCTACTGCTACTGTTGCTCACCACGCCGTCCGAAGCGAAAATGAGCTGATACCACACAGCAGCGCTGCTTTATATCTTTTTAGGTTAAAGCAGAATGATGTGCAACCAAGTGGTATAAAAGCTACAAAGACTCCTCCCATTATGTGTAGTTTGCTATCAAGTAGCGACACTGGCTATTTTCTTTTTGCGTACACGGCGAATGAGAACGACCCAAATTTGAGTTTAGTCGCCAAAAGTGTAGGAGCTCAGCGACGAGAAAATTTATCCCATGGTTTCCTGTGGAAAACCTAAAAATCTGCCAGAAAATGAGGAAATTGACGAAAATTTTATCCAGTCTCGGAGTAGTACCAATAGACTGAGTGAATCCAATCTTTACTTTTCTCAAATTCGGGAATTTTTTCCTGGAAAATCCTGGAAAAACTTGGGAAAACATGAGGCAAATTTACTCATCGCTGAGTTCCTGCACTTTAATTCTTATTTCTGAGATAAGTAAACTCAAATTTGGGTCGTTCTCATTCGCCGTGATAGATATCGGCACCGGTGGTTAGCGTGATTAACTCTCATCCCAGCAGGCCTGGGTCCAATCTCAGTCGGTAGCATTGGAGCTCAGTACGGAAAACAAATCTCGCGTCACTTTTCAATAGGTCCTATCTACATTGATCGATTCTCTTCATAGACACTCTCTTTTGTAAATAACTTGGCTTCACAAATCTGGATCACCAATAGAAAAGGGCCCATCAGCATTTGTAAACAAACCGTTCCAAAGCCCATTCCTCATAAAGCGAAGGCCACCCACACAAACCAACACCATCATCGGATAGGGGAAACTTCTACCTACACGATGGTGGTGTTGGTTTGTGTGAGCGGCCTTCGATTTGTTAGGAATGGGCTTTGGAACGGTTTGTTTACAAATGCTGATGGACCCTTTTCTATTGTTGATCCAGAAATGTT